TTTTTTCATAAGGACTTATACCGTGATTTTTTTGGTGCGCAGTTTGGACTGAGACATGGATGAAAGGTTTGAATAAAACAGGGCTCATCACTGATAACCAGGAGCTGCGGTTTGAGACTAGCTCAGCGCTGATCGTGACAGTTTCTCTTCCACTGCCGGGTCTAGCAAACATATTGAAGGTCTAGAAGCTCTATGTTTGTGACGGCAGTCCAAACAGGATAGGGTGTTTGTTTTATTCGCGCCGTCTCAGGTAGGCGTAGAATATGGCCGAAACATTGCAAACGCCGGTTGGAAGGGACAACGAGCAGCGTGGCAACACCGTACGATCATCTTCGTTGGGCAATTTGTCGTGCGATTTGAACCTTGAGGATTTGACTCAAACACCTTCAGCTTTAAAGTCAGCGGCTCGCCGAGGCTAGGTTTCATATCCATTGATGAGTACGGGACAGATAGTGGCACAATAAGTAAAAATTAGTGCAGGGGTTAATTACACCGCAAATCAGTGTCCGCCGTAGCCGCGGAGAAGCCCCCCGGACTTTGTTCATCTGTATCATTACTTCGTCCTTTACTTAACCATTCGGGTGTAATGTGGAATCTATATATTAAACCGATGGTACGCACTCGATGAGCTGACCACTGATGAAGACCGCGAGATTGTACTTGAATGCGGTCGACTTGCGCATGGTGCAATCATCATCGGAGGACCAGATTAGCAGGTTCCTCTTTCGGTGTTGAATTTGAGGTCAGCTAAGCTGATCAGACAAAACCCTATCGCGCGGGGCATCCCCGGATCGAAATTGTTGATTGTGCCGAGTAGCTTCGTCTCGTGTTCCGCTTATTGTTTCAGTCTGCTGCGGAGGACGTCGGATCTCGGGATAAGGTTGATATGAACCTGGTCAATAGTTGTCAAAGACGGAAATAAAGACAGACTTGAAGGCGTTGAAAACAACACGTTTGTTGCAATCCCAAGTATGTCCCAGATCGGGCATCAGCAAACGTGTAAGTTTGAAGTTCCGGTGAAGTACCCCGTGATATAAAGGGGAAATAGATTAGTGGAATACATGGGACCTTGATGGGACACCAATACCCACAGGTACGGACTGGAAGTTTTATCAATTTGGAGGGAAGTGGTGCGGTTACTGATAGAGATTGGTGTCTACCAGAGGTGCCCTTGGAGGCCAAATTGGGCCAGCAGTCCTTGATGTCAGATACGGTTGAATGTTTTCAAGATGTCAAGTGAAAACATATGAAAATCTCCGCAGTTGTCGAATAAATCTGACTAATTTGCGAGAAACTAAGGCTAAGCTCGAATGTGAAATGATATGGTCAAAGGCATATTGGCGTTCATTCGGGAATCCCTCATGTTTGAGATGCACAAGAAGTTGATCGGCAATCACAGCATGAAACACTTTGGAAATGATAAGAATGAGGGAAACGGAAAGACAATTGTTCGCATCGAAAGGGTGTCCTTGATTAAGAATGGGAGAGAGCACTCAGGAAATACTATAGACCCAGGAAGAACACAAAATGGATCGTGATGTGTTGGAGTGTTGTTTGAATTGATCGTTTCTTTTACTGCATCAGACGCGTTTTTATGATTGGCCCGTATAAGACTTTAATTTTGCCCGCCGAAAAATGTGATTGGTTTAGGACTATATATAAACGCCTGTGGTTTCCTTTCCAAATGTGATTCGTGTCCGGTGCACTACAGAAAATATATCGAGAGCATATCCGGAAGAAACGACTTTTGATTTTGGAGAAGAGGGGCACATTTCGAGGAGAATCAGGAAGCTCCTGTCTAGATGGTTGATTTGTGAATGTTAACACACAACAGGATTCGCCCGATCGTCCGGATGGTAATGAAGTAGGAGAGTTTGGTCATCTATTTGGATGTGTGGGGCTAAATAAAGAAAATCATCATCGTACAGCGAGATGCAGTGAAGCGAACTTCGCTGATCGCTGACAAGTCCATTTGACTGGAGAAATCAACTATGCTGTTTCCTTCCGCGGCATTGGCACAAAAGAAATTTGCTACCTGAGCGATCGACTCAATCCGAATGACCTTGGTTTTGACTGAATTGAACATTCGGATCGTTTGCTGATCCGGTGAACGAGCGTGTTATCGATTCCCCATCAAGAACGTGCAACAGTTCTTGGTCCCAGACTTGATGCAGTCACTGAAAAAAGAAATTTTTACCCATATGCATACAGGTCTTGTTCACTCCACAAAGTTTACTTTCACTGAAACCAGATTCCTCCCCAGTGTCTAAATCCAAACGCCCTGCTATCCAATCGGTCGTTGCCGAGCTAAACAGGCTGAAAAAAGTCTGGTCAATTAGTTGATATGGATAACTCCGGCCGTTGTCGCCTAGATAACTGCAATATGGACATTTGTTGGTTTTCCTACGGGTTTGAACTCCTCATTGGGAAACCATCAATAATCACTTCCGATAACAGAAGACATCTCGGCTAAAATGAATGGTGGTAGATCATTCACCAAATTTCAAATATCAGATGCACATTACACACCTAAGTGAGATGAACAGCAGACGGGGCGAACTCCATAGTCACGAGGACCTGCTGTTCAGTGTGGAAGCCGGCACCCTAGGCCCCGGGACGTGGAGTGACGCCCCACATAAGACTCCGATAATTTAGGCGTGGTAATGAACCGGACGACAGTAGAACTGCCTACCACCAACGTCGGGTGGTGGGACGGTGGTGAGACTCGAACCTCGGACCAAAGGGTCCGAAGCACGCCGATGACAGTGACTAAACCACTGCGCCATCACCACAATGCACATTACCGGCCCCGAAAGTCTCATTATCGTCGGGAAGGGGTGTCTTGGATTGTATCCGGTCTGCCTTCCCTTGCTCTTATACGACCATGTGTCTCTGTTAAGAAAGCCCTATCTACTGTCTTCACGTTGAAGAGCTGTTCTCCTATCAGATGAGAGGACTAAGGGGTAAATACCTTGGTTCTAAACCAATCAGGAATCGTATAAACCACCCCAAGCAAATTAAGTTGCTTTGTCCAGAGCAACGGGCAGCAATCTATCAACAAGCAAATCATGGACTCACTCATTTTTCATTAAGATAGTTGTTTCGCATTTGGACACGTGAAATACAATGATTAACCTCACCAGATGGGTGTTGCTGTTATTGTTTCAGTATCATCGTCTGCCTTTCGGTATCAAATCTGCTGGTGGACACAACGTTAACCGGTATATATATATATATATATATATATATATATATATATATATATATATATTACCACTAACTTTGTATGTATTGCGAGTTTGGCAGCAATCAGTGAAGTTCAACTCATTGTATTTCGCTGTACGGTGATGATAATGATTAACACGGAGCACACAGCAAAAAACCGGATGAACACAATTGCCTTCAGTTAGGTTGTTGCTGAATACGAACCCTTCGGGTAGCATAAAGCGATTCCCTGACTCTGATTGGTGTCTATTGGCCATTCATCCACAAGCAACTGGAAAGACTCGTTTGAAGCTGTCATTGATGAGCCTTTCCTTTCAAGATAACGATAAAAATTAAGATCTGAAGTTGGTCAGTTCCTGAAAAAACCTCGTTGCGCATCTACATTGATGTTGCATCAACGGTCGATCTTACCTCATCATGTGGACACACTCAGCAAATGATTCCAGGATCTTATTATGGAGGGTACATGAAATACACAACTAACTTTTCAGTCAAACCGGTGTTCGTGAAAAGCTCGTTGGTGACACGGTGACCAATTCATACTTGAAGTGTGGAAAACAATAATCAATTAATTCCCGTTTCTGCGTTCATGCACTCCGCATCCGAAAATACCAAACGGCGCCTCCCCAGAAGTAGCTTCAACTCACAAAAAGTTACGAATATTGTCCAATCTATTACGCTTAGCTGCCAACTAAGTAGAAGAAACCAGAGATGCGTTGCAGATGACGATTCAGGGTTTTGCAACGCTAGTTCGAATGAGGTAAAACAGTGTTAGTACGAGATTACGGAAGTGACCGTTCCCGTAAAAACGGGGAGCTGTACTTTATAAAGTCTAAATGTGGTCGAACATCTGCATACTTCATGCCAATCGGCTGAAGCCAACAGAATATCAAGAAGTGAGAAGTCAAAGCCCACAAGTACTTGTTGATATGTTGGATATATTCTGGTTGTCGCCATCAACCCAGACAGGGGGGAACAATTTCTATGGAAATTCGTAAACGATCACTTCCAGGAGAAACATTAATTTCCCCTGAAAAACCAATGAAAAAGGAGCTAAACCGGTTCTTTCCTCGTGTTACCGAGATGGTAAAAGACAAGGTAACGATCATAATGCTGCAACCTGATCGGTTCAGTTGTTATCAGTGTTCCCGCGCTGTCCATTCTGTATAAAACAAGACTATATGCAACATTTTATGCATAGCATGCTTTTTCCACTATTCCAACGCAGTTATCTTGCGCTTTCGATAGATACTAACTCTTCTGGTGTTGTCCTTTGACTGCGAATATTCTTATTGGAAAGCATTAAATGATACTTAGGTAAACACTGCAGTTGTTGTAAACCGATCTGTTTCGACTATTTCCAAACGGCGGTGACATTTAATCGAGGCAATATACACTAGCAATTTTTGAGGTTTTGATACGATCGATCGAATGTTTTTTTTTATTGCATAGCGGTAAACCTCAGTCACGCCGATCTACTGCTTCGTTATGTGAAATTAAACCACTAGACTGGGAATGGTGAACCGTGTAAGGCACCAATGGGATAGGTGCGATGATGAATCGGGTATCAACAAAACTCTACGGTTGTAAAGCATCCATACTGTTCTGCGGACACGCCTACACACATCGGTGGTAGTCAAGGAAACAAGCAACAAACCGGTTGACGTATAAACCTAGGGATACAGATTGTATAGTGTGAGAAAATCTGTTAATACATCCAGGTGGTATGTATCTCATGCATGTAAAGTTACTATTCCAGGTGGGAACTGATAAAATTACCTGCCTCCAATTCGTTCCATATGTTTAGCCAATCCCTGATTTGCAACATCATGAGAGACAAACTGAACGAATGCTTCTCCCGTCGGTCGATTTTGACTGTCCGTGAGGATACCGATTCCGTTCTCCACTATTTCTAAACCTTNCGACTTTTGTAATACTGTACGGCAAACCAAACAGCCGTAATGTTCCATCCGGCTTCGGGGCTTTTCTACTGCACCAATTCATTTCCTCAATGGAAGATGGTATGGCTAGATACAAGATACTATTACATAATAGATGACCTTACTTTCAATAAAGCGTCGACCCATAAGCTCTTTATTGTGCGCCATGACTCGATCTGCCTCTTCTTTGTCCGCGACAACCACGAATGCTTCACCGGTTATTTTTCCATCTGATCCATAGCGAAATCGAATTTCCTTTGGTGACACGTCTGGAAGTGTAATCCAAAAAAAACCGAATTTTCTGTGTACTTTACGACG